ACCTAGTCTACTGTTTGTACAAGACATATGCTTTTCTACACAAATACTACAAAAACTTGTAATAATTCTGAACCCCCTTTATTCAGGACATTAAAATCATCCCGAAGATCCACTTTCAGCACCTTTACCTTACCTTTACTTAAAAGTTAAGGTATTTCTCTCTACCGACCTATAGTAGACTTTTGTGTGGATAATATGACTGTGTGGGATGACAAACTGCCTCGTCTAAGCTACGATAATTCAGTGAGATTGTACTTTTACGTGACTAGATGGGGTGACAGGCCTACTCGCCAAACCTATGAAGTGCCATATGACCTTGTCTGATGTATGATATAGCAGATAAGGTGCCATATGACCTTGTCTGATGTATGGTATAGTGGATAAGGTGTCATATGACCTTGTCTGTTGTATGGTTGTCATATGACCTTGTCTGTTGTATGGTATAGCGGATAAGGTGCCATATGACCTTGTCTGTTGTATGGTATAGCGGATAAGGTGCCATATGACCTTGTCTGTTGTATGGTATAGCAGATAAGGTGCCATATGACCTTGTCTGTTGTATGGTATAGCGGATAAGGTGCCATATGACCTTGTCTGTTGTATGGTATAGCGGATAAGGTGCCATATCACCTTGTCTGCTGTATGGTATAGTGGATAAGGTGTCATATGACCTTGTCTGTTGTATGGTATAGCAGATAAGGTGCCATATGACCTTGTCTGTTGTATGGTATAGCGGATAAGGTGTCATATGACCTTGTCTGTTGTATGCCTTAAAACCACCCTTTTTTCTCATTATCAGTCATGACGATATCTGAACGACTAAATGTCTGTATGACTTGTTTAAAGCTGGCAGTGCAACCATGCCTGTATCACAGTGCTGACATCACAGGCTGTTTTAGATTGTTTAGTAAGGCGTTAACAATATAACATGGTAGGTGACAGTGGGTGTTCCCTGACAACAATGCCTGTATCACAGTGCTGACATCACAGGCTGTTTTAGATTGCTTAGTAAGGCGTTAACAATATAACATGGTAGGTGACAGGGACGAGAATGAGTTCACAGCTACTTAGTGTCTCTAACAGAAAGCCATACAAAAATGTGTCAAAAATCCTCAGCATCACTAAGCATGCAATTTCTATACAGCAAATCATCCATTTAACAAGGCACCTTTAATTTGTCACCTGACCCTTCCCCCCACCTGACCTTAGAATTGTAAAAAACTGTAACCTAAACATGGAGACTAACTAACTTCTACTGATATTAGTATTTATGCATAATATACTGAATAACTTTTAGTCTTATCTGAATGGCTGAGGAGTCCTTCAGTTTAAAAGTCACATGACCAAGCCTTTGTATCTGATTGGCTGAGGACTCCCTCAGTTAACAGTCACATGACCAAGTCGACTTACCTGATTGGTTGAGGACTCCCTCAGTTTGTTCAGAGATGCCTGTAGCCGCTGAACATCGTCCACAAGCTGAGCAATCTGTAACAGAATCCAATCACATTTCTTTGATTTCTGACAATACTTCTGACAGCGGATTTTACACTAATCTTTACCCTAGCAAAACTTAATACATTTAGTTAGCATCTTCTACTGAAAAACTCCATTGTACCAAAGTGATTAAGGCTGTGGTTTACTAATGGGGATGTTTGTGGACAGGTTCTGACATCTTAAAGATATCTAAAAGTAGGTGTAGTTTGGATTTGTAAGTAGGTGTAGCTATTGCCTCAAAGTGGGTGTGGCTTAAAATGGTAATGGGAGGGGCCTCAAAGAGAGTGAGTCAGTGACAAAGGGAGGGGCCTAAACGTGGGTGTGGCTTAAAATGATAATGGGAGGGGCCTCAAAGAGAGTGAGTTGTTGACAAAGGGAGGGGCCTAAAAGTGGGTGTGTCATGTTAAAACAAACCTCCTTCTCCTTGGCGGCGAGCTCCACCTCAAGGCTTGAGCGCTGAAGGATGTCCATAGCCTGCTCTACATTGGGTGAGACCAGGCTCTCAGTCGTGCCTGGTTGGTCTCGTGTCACTGCTTTTGTCAACTGCTGCTGTAGTTGCTCTACCTGTCGTTCTGTTGCAGCTGCTCTCTATAAACGACAGTAGTATAACACTGTATGTTAGCAGTGCTTTCTATAAACAACAGTAGTATAACACAGTATGTTAGCAGTCAAGTACAATCTTCATATGGCAGAAGTTATTTATGTGGTACTTTTCTCAGGGGACAACTGTAGCAACAGTAAGTAAGAAAATCCACACCTTCAGTCTGTTACAAGACCACAGACTGGGTGTGACGAAGGGGTCATATCATGTGAATTAGAAAACTTCCCCAGCTAAGTATCAAACTCGGCAAACATAGTAAATCAATAGATTATAGATCTGGCAGAGCCAGGCACAATCAATACCAGATCAATCCCATATCATAAAGCACATACTAAAATATAACTCATCAGCAGCTGGCCCCTACCATGTATAATAACTGTATCTAATATGGCCCTGATCATGTACATCTTATCTAAGATGACACTGACATTCTACAACACATCTAAGATGGCCCTGGTCATGTATATCATCTGAGATTAAACATCCTATCAACAGCTAAGGTCTTTTAAGGATGTTCTACATCCCAGACTGTGACAGTAAATATTTTGAATGACGACCTGAAACCTTAGCAAATCACATACAATTCTTGATGAAATACCTGACCTTTTTACCTGAGAATCTCCGTGTAAATGTACAGCGTCTTATGTCATAAATGAAGTTTATAATCTGTTATCATTTGCCAATCACATTTGCTGACAAAAATAATTCTAAAATGATCTTTCTCTTGCTTAAATCTGATTAATTGAAAGTTTTACCTTTTCTTACCTTTATTACCACCTGTACAGGTAAACACTGAAGCAACTTTAGAATTGAAAACGTCAATATAAACAAGAGACAATAACAAACAATTTTGATATAACTTTTGTTCACATAAAACAAATATTTTTCAAGTTATGCGCATTTGAAAAATTAAGTAAATTAATTAATATTTCAATAATTAATTCAGCAGTGGTGTCCCTTTACATAGAAATCAATGTAGCAGCCTAAGGGTTAAAACTTTGCACAGGGTCTGGTTCCTATTTCATATTGTAGGTCTATTCAAACTGAACATACGGTGAGCTGGAAAGTACCTCATGACCGGCATTGAAGAAAGATAATTTCATTTGAATGTCACTACCCTGCATGTATAGGGAAGAATACTAAAAATCACAAAATATCACTACTCAAGCCTCATCACTCATTGTGTCCTGCTGCTAATACAAACTTGGTAACTGTGTCAAATAAAATTTAATCACTAGAATAGATATTGTTGAATAATTCTATGTAAAAACAATGTACATATCTGTCATAGATCAGACAGGAAAAAATATTTAGTAACCCACCTGAAATGTCCTTATGCACAACATTCGTGTACAACGACCCGGAAGTGTAATTGTGGTCTGAGGCCACCTTACACATTATACCTGTGTTTTGTGTTAGAGTTATCTCCCCTCTATCTTATACATTATACCTGTGATTTGTACTAGAGTTATCTCCCCTAGGGATAAATACTACCTTACACATTATAACTGTGATTTGTGCTTGAGTTATCTCCCTTAAGAATACATACTACCTTACACATTATACCTGTGATTTGTGTTAGATTTATCTCCCTTAATGATACATACTTCCTTACACATTATACCTGTGATTTGTGCTAGAGTTATCTCCCCTCAAGTTTTTTTAATAAATATCATCAAACAATCCAGAATTTCTTTTGTTGCTATGCTTTTTTCGGCTCTTTTCAAATGTGACTTAATTAATTGCCCAAGTACAAATGACTTCATGAAAACATGTTGTATAGTAAGTTAATTAGAACTCTTGGTGTGTAGATACAAGTCAGACAATTAATAACATGTAGCTGAGGTCAACAGGTTCTGTCATCTACCTCATTGGCACGCTCCAGGTCAGCCATCACCATTTCCATTTCATCTGACCTGCAAAAACAAAATCATTCATTAGCCTACAATTTTACCAGAAAAAAATCTAAACATGACAACAGCGCTTTCCAAAACTACGAACAAACAAACACAAACCTTTTTGTTGTATTATATTATTTTTCAATTAAATGATATTTTTTTTTAATTTTGAAATGAACTGTATATGCCTGAGATATTTGACAAAATCTTTCATTCAGATAATTTTAATTATTGATTTGTAAAGCTAACATTCCCAGATAAAAATGTCTGTTTAAAGTTCCAACAATAATCTAATATAAAAGATCTATTTGTTATATCTTTATAAATATTGGTATTAATAAAAACTGCATCATAAGTCACATAATTGGACAGAAAGAAGACCAATATTAACATTTCAGAAAATACAATTAATGACAATTAAGAATAACACATTACAATAAACATTTTGTTTTAGTAACGACACTCCCAATAAAATGTCCAACTATCATAACAAATTCATTCAATATGAAAATTTACATTAATAATAAATAGTAAAGAAGGCCAAATACAGGTCACACAGGACATGTAGACACTCTCCGTGGTTGGTGTAGCTTACCTGACACTAATCTACCTACTGACATTAATGAATTTATTATTCAAATCGGTCGCAACACTGATTCACAGGAACAGAACGAGCAACAATAAGTTCCCACTCTCCACAAACACATCTTGTATCACTAGTTAAAAAGTTTTGGGAGGAAATTGCCACATGCTTTTTCCCCCCGTTTGATTTAGTGGGAAGACCACCAGAGAACGACCAGTTAGAGACTAATTTCTATGAGGTAATATATATAAAACCCAATAGTGACCCATCGCTCAGAGAGGAGATGGGATAGAAGCTGCACCTTTCAAATGAAGACATTTGAATTGATGTCCAGACATAACCTGGACAACAGATGATCATGGCCATGCTCCATTTGCTCTAAGTATTGTTAGCATAGCATGTCACAGAGAAATTCCAACCTGTTATTGTACTGGATATATTTTATTATACTAACTTCTCATTTAGAAGATTTCAATATTGTTTTATTTCTGAAATGTTTTGTAAAAGACAGAGCTATATGCAAGCTAATGTAAAGCTAACCAATGTTATTTTTTGTCTAAAGGCATGACGGAATGACCATCTAAACAGTTTGTCCAGAGGCAGTATGGCTGACCATTTGGAGCGGTTTTAACTGGTGTGTGACACTATTGATGTTAATACCTGATACATCTATAAATCAGTTATGTAAATAAGCCTTCTCCACACCTGCACGAGATATGACTGTGGGGCTGACAACCTGGCCTAATTAATCTTCCTGTACCCTTCAGCAGCACTGTGATTACTCACCTCGTTAATACACAGCCCTCATACCTAATACCACTGTCTGACCACGTCCTCCTCCTAGTCTTAATTACATCACCAACATGGCGAAAAAAACAACTTATCTGAATAAATCTGCAAAGTGATTTTATCCTTGTAGGAATATAAATATGTTATATTTACACAATTCTATAAATATTTAATTGTGTTATATTTAAATGTGTTATATTTAATTGAAACATGTGTGTATCTACATCAATATTAATGTATCTTCAAAATTCACCTGCTGCTTTTTTACTCCAAATTAAAGACAACATCCATTTCTTCAATTTAACTAGGCTTTTGTATGAACTGTGCATAAATTCTGAAATTTACACAATTCCAAATGATGTTTTTTAAATTTTGTATGAAAAGTGTTAGAATGCTTTGGAAACCTCAGCTTCCTTAAATTCATGATATAGAAATTGAAAACAAACTTTTACTGAGTTGATCAAATTTTACTTTTGATTTCATTACAAGCACTACCCATATTGACATTAATTCAGATTTTGTTTAAATTCTAAATAGTAAGTCTCCACAAAGTTACAATTATACATGATTTTTTTTTTTATTAGGTAGTTTTTAAAACTGACAGAATAAGAATAATACTAAAAATCTTTTTCTCGTCTGATTTATATGTAACTTTGTTGAACAACAGTTTTTCACAAACCCGAGTAAAATGTAAATTTTAGCTACGCCCAATTTTCACCTCTTGTCTTTTAGAATGATTCTTTAACTAAAGGGTTTAATGATGAATAATTCTCCACTTTAAACATACCTCTAAGTGACTTTACAAATATTGCTTATTTAATCCTTTTTTTAACAAACATATTGCAAATTAGGTTGAGAATTCAAAAAAAAACAAGAGGCCCAATGGGCCTGCATCGCTCACCTGGTATAAAACTCACACTTGTAACCTTAAAAGTGATCTAAAATAAAGCTACAGGCAAAATATCAGTAGTTATGATTAAAATTCGTTTAAAAGACCGTTATTTTTTTAAAAAACATTTCACCCCTGTGATTGAAAGTCGAACAAAGTCATTATATTGAACACATTGTATAGCCTTTCATCTCAGGATGCAACTTGCAAAGTATAAACATCCTGGGACCCATGGTTATTCATAAGAGGTTGTTTAAAGATTTTAAACAAATTTGACCCCTGTGACCTTGAATATAAGTCAAAGTCATTCACTTTAACAAACATAGTAGTCCTTGATCCCAGCATATGCTACTAACTAAATATCAACATCCTGAGCCTTTTGG